TTTTTTTTTTTTTTTTTTTTTTTTGCATACACCACCATACCCAGTTCAGTGGCTGGCGCAGTGGGCCAGGGCTTCCAGGACCAGCACAGCATGTGGTACTGTGGATCAAATCTGGGTACTTGCACTTACCAGGCAGGCACTTAGACTGCTAAGCTATCTCCCCAGCCCGTGTTTTTTTTTTATTATTAGAAATATACAACAGTTAATGAGAAACCAACTAAATGCAGTTGATCCCTATTCCTTTTTTTTTTTTTTTTTTGTGTGTGTGTTTTTAGAGAAGGGTATACAGAGTGTTCAGGGTCTCACTATTAGATCAGATTTATAGTGATCCACCTTTTTACAGCCTCCTAAGAGCTGGGATTATAGGCATGTGCCACCACGCCCAGTCTCAGTTGCCATCTGAGCATGCCCCAGGGGCAGGGCCGTTACAGCAAGCCCGGCAGGCCCAAGGATCAAACCCCCATCCCTGAGCCTGCTTACAGGCGCTTTAATCCACTGAGGTATTTGGCCAGCCCCCCACCCCCATTCCCATTCTTAAGTCTCCAGAGCATCCTAGTGCATTATCTTAAGGAAGCATTTCAGCATTACAATGAAACCTGGATTATGAAAACATTTGAAGTAGTTGATTCCAATGAATTAACATCATGTTGTGTTTTGTAATTATAGCCTTCTGGTTTCTTTCACCGGGCTACAGGCCCTAGGTTGGCCTTCCCTCCTTTTGTATAGCATTCTGGATCTTTGTTATTTGGTATGAATGATTTTCAGGCTTTGCTTATCTTCCATGTCATCTGCATGTAGAACTAGTCATTTTTAGTTTTTAATTTGCAAGTAGAATGGGATTGCAATGAAACTTCACAGGGTAGTGAAGAATATTTCCAAGGACTCCACCTATTATTGTATGCAACTATAGAGAGGGCATTTAATAGAAGACTAATATCTGTTTTTCTGGGTATGAATGAACCATGTGTTGTGGTTTTTTGTTTTTGTTTGTTTGTTTTTTTTACTTTTTAAACTACTCTCCTTGTGATTCTCTTTTCAGTTATTTTCATCATTCCTGCTCTAGATAGGTAGAAATGGGGATGAAATGAACAGTTGTTTTTGAAAGTGTTCTCATCAATCAAGGCAGCTTTTGACTGGTTTTTCACCTTTTCTTTCAGTGAACAGCCTATCCCGCTCCAAGTACTGTTAAGCCAAGACACCCAACTGGAACCCTGCACAGATACAGAGTTTGGGGCCAGTTCTTCTCACTTCCACTCACCTGCTTCCTACCATGAGTCACACTCATCACTGTTCCCAGAGTCACCTGCCCCATCTGCCCCACAGCCCAATTCCCCCAGCACATCTGCCTCAAAGCTTCTGACTTCACTTGAGGTGGACAGCATTGACTCCTCTGAATTCCACAGACAGAGTATACCTAAAACACCAGGGAGGACTGAGAATTCTCAGTATGATTGTCTGCCATTGGATGCCCTAGAGGGTAAGCTGCAAGGCCATATGGATGACAACAGCTGCAGCAGATTCCCTCCACAAGAAGGGAGGGGCATTGCTCAAGAAGAGTGCCATGGAAAAAGGGATCCTTCTGATCCATCCCTTATGATGGCTTGGTCATATCCAACAGGAAAAGCTATCTTGGAGAGAGGAGATACACACTGTCTTGGCTCTAGTTTTTCAAGTTCATCAGCTCAGCCCAGCTTTCCCCTGTATAGGATTTCCCACCCCATAATGCCTACTGCTTCTTCGTCTGTGCTTCACTCTCCTGATCTTGTGGAGAAAACTAACCAACACCTCCAAACTCAAAGCCTTCAAAATTCATTGACTTCCAAAATGGACAGAGGCAGTGAGGAACTCTACAGGCCAGAATTTCCCAGCACAAAGGGACTTGTTTACTCCCTGGCAGAACAGAGGATGCAGGGTGTCTCCTTGAGGGATGCTACTGGTTCCCAGGACAGAAGTTTGCCAAATAGCCTAGGGAAACACTGTTCTTCTGACATTAAGCCTTCTTTCCCACAGGGTCAAGGAAAAGGTCACTGTCCTTGGGAAAAACAGCAACCATGCCTGGATGGTAGGGACAGATTGCCTTCCTGGGAAGAGCCTGCTGACCATGCTTTTCTTGCCATGGACTCTGTGTTGCCTAATGGTTTAACTTCTAGGGGAGGAGAGTCCAGGTTGGCAGAACCAGCTGTACATCAAGGAAAGCGATCCCATGTAAGAGATGCTAGGCCTAAGGAGCTGGGTAGTAGGATCAACTTAGGGACTTCTTTGCCTTTGGATTTCTGGGTGAATGTCACAAGGCTCTGTGATTCTCAACTTAAACATGGGGTATCTGGGCCAGGAGTGAAGTCCTCTCCCCATGATCCCCATACCTGTGTAATCTATCCAGAGAGAAATCATATCCTTTTGCATCCACATTGGAACCAAGATACAGAGCAGGAGACCTCTGAATTGGAGTCTCTCTACCAGGCCAGTCTTCAGGCTTCTCAAGCCTGTCCTGGATGGGGGCAGCGAAATGTGGCCTGGCAGCCACTTAGCCAAACAGGTAAGGATGCATCCAGGGGTTGGGCAGAGTGGGAGGATATTAAAAAAAAACCTAAAGGCAGAAGGACAAGATAAAAGGAGTAGTATGCTATACAGGTAACATGCACAGAGGTGGAATGACAGCCATTGTATTTACCAAAAAATAGTAAAATTAACTGATTTTTAATATGTATAGTGGCAATATCATACATCAGATATTAGGACCAAAATACAAATTAGCCATGGACATAAATATCAAATGTAGGTCAAGGGCATTAACATTTTCAGAATGAAGCGCTTAATTAGTTGGATTGGGAACAGCTCCTTGGGAGTCTCATAATCCACTTTAGAGCAGCAGCACTGGTTGTTTAGAATTTAAGCGTTTGAGAGAAGCTGGGGTCATGGGGGATAAAAGAATTTTCACATGTCATGTATTCCTGAAGAGCTCCTGCTCAGTGATAGGAGGGTACCAGGTGAGATAATAAAAGACAACTGCTAAAATTGAGAGGCTTGAAATTTAATCCTAGTTTAACTACTAACTACCTATCAGACTCTAGAACTCATTTTCCTGTTGTATGAGGAGGCTTGATAGGTGATTACCATGATCTTTTCAATTCTAAACTAGATTGGAAATAATAGTTTCCTTTGTCATCACAGATTCTCTAGAAAATCACTATGTCAGATAATTTCTTCACTATAATATTACAGATCTTAGACCCAACTCTGATAGCTGATGATGTTTATAAAAAAGAAATGAAATTAGACAAGGACATTCAGCTGCCTATTCACAAGGCTGCTTTTCTACAAAGAAAATCAAGGGCTGTGACTGTCACCCTTCTGACCTAGAGTAGTCTATTAATATTCTGGAAATACTCTTTTCTGAGTTCCAAGAGAATATTGCCATTATATTCAGGGATACCTATCTGTTACTCATTAAAACAAGAGCTTCTGGGCTGGCCAGATAGTTCAGTAGACCTGCTTAGGCAGAGCGCAGGGACAGGGTTCGATCCCCAGCACCACAAACCATGCTGGCCCCACCCCTAGGGCACGCTGAGGCGATTGAGACTGGGCATGGTGGTGCCCGCCTGTAATCCCAGTGCTTTGGGAGGCTGAAAACAGGAGGATCACTCCGAATCCAAACTATGTAGTGACACCCTTTAGACCCTGTACTAAATACATTTTTTAAAAAAAGAGCTTCTCCCCCACCCCAAAAGGGGGCCGGGGAGATGGCTCAGTGGAATAAGC